CTTTATTTGTTTTAGCTATTGCACAAGCTTTCTGCATTCCAGAAGAAACTGGGATATATTTGGTTTCAATATATACAGTATCTATTTTTCTTGGTCCTCACCCAAGGTTTTTGTTCTAATTGCAATAATTCTTTTCTCTTCTTAGTCTAGGAAATCTTTTATGCTCCTCGTGGCATGGCACTACAGACAACCTAATTAATCTACAGGAGGGCCAGCTAACCTGTTTGTCATCATAATTTCTTCCGTAATGGAGAGTTTTGGTTGGGAGCCATAGGAATTGCAACAAACCTTCCCAGCTGCTGAGATTTAGTTGTCTCATGAGATTCAACCTAACATGAGAGGGTAAATCCCAGTTCCAAGCACTTATGAAAAATGAGAAGTGAGATGCCCTTATGCCACAAAGTGCTGATCCAGGATAGGATCATGATGTCCATTTTAGTGTCTTCAGTGTTTTTGAAAATGAATTTCATGTGACTGGTTTCCTGCTATTTCTTCTGTTACACCTCCACACTGTTTGAATGACCTTGACATGTAGGCCTTCTCAGCAATTTTTTCCCCCTTCTTCCCCCCTCATTCCTGTTGTAATAATGATGATTTCTATATGTGGCTACACCTTACTGCTGACTCCGCTCTCAGGATTTTCCCTTCTGAGTTGGGCATTCACAAAATTCAAAGTATGTCATGGACCTCTGCCTTTAGCCTTATCTTACCTCCAGTGTCCTGTAACTCGAATGAGAAACTGAAATAATCCCCTGTGGTTCCTCCAATGCAAAATCAAGAGACTGGGTCAGGAGAAAGGCAAATACTGGAGCTCCTGCTGGAGGGGGGTGGTACAGTGGCCAAACAAGGAAGGCTGGGGCTGCAGAGATTTGTCCTCTTAGGACTTTCATGTCTGACCCATGCCATGGGGTCCCCCTCCATGGAACTTCGCCCATGCCTTGTTGCTTGTTCATTAGCATGACTGAGGATCTTTGGCAGAGGTTAGCCCATACCTATGGTGAGAATTAAGAGAGAAATGAATCTTAGACCTCCAGTGTGGACTGTCCAAGGAAGATCAAAGCTGCAGAAAGACTTGTCCTTTGAGAAGTTTTTCATGTGATCTATAGCCAGGGCTCAGAACAGGTCTACAGTTAGTATGAGAGCTTGGATTAGTTTTAGGGTTAGGAGAGTGACAAACCCTAAAGCAAGAGTTTTAATAAAGCTGCAAGGGTCTGCCCAAGAAAAGCTGACTCTACAGAAAGATGTGTCTCCCAAGAAGTGCTTTGTCTGGTTCATGACTGGGGGGCTTTGGCTGAGGCTTAGCACACACCTGGCATTAGAGCTAGGAGTTAGTGTGCTTGGCATATAGGAGAGACCAAGCAAAAAGCTTCAGTGTAAGGGGAGCAGGGGGCTGTAAAAGGGCTGCCCAAGGGGTGGTTAAGTTGACAAAAATTATTTCCCCTATGAGCTTTCTCATATGGACCATGGCTGGCAATCCTTTTGATTGGGTTTAACTCTGTGTGTTGGATAGTGTTAATTTCAGGAGAAAAAAAGTTTCCGTAGTTCCCAGGTTAGTTGAGATCCTGACCACAACAAAGCTTACTGGTACTCTAGTATTGGGCATCATCTGCACCAAGTAAGGACTGTGCTTGTTATGACCTAAACGAAGGTGATCTTTTCTGTCCCCAAAGTCCTCCTATATATGGTGGCCAGAAGCGACCTGGAAGCAGCCTGGAATTTTTTGTGAAGGGGTACCTGAAAGCTATGCGTGATGGTGGAGACAAGGGATTTTGAGGAAGCTGCTAGAAGCAATCCCCAAAAAGCAGATCATCCTACACTGCAAAGGGAGAAATAATGAGGTGTTGGATGCAGTGCTGGCCAAGAAAGCATGTTCCTGGGTCTTACTGACAAAAGAGCACTACTTCTGTGCTAACCAGACAGCTCCTGCTAGAAATGGAAACTTAGACCCGAGTCTGAATGCACTCATTTGTGCCATACCTGGTAACCTGCTGATGCTGCATTGATAATTGTGACTCAAAGTGATCTGGCTGCAAACTGACGTGAAGAGTGAGCTGAGTATGAATTGCTAATTCAACCTTCTCCTGAACTGCCTAGTGCCAATATAACACACTGAAGACAGAGAAAGTGCTAGTTAAGTAACTTGTGCGATGGGTGGTGCTTGATGTTTTAGTCCTGTTTTTCCAAGAGTTCTGTTTCAAAAGCCTCCATCTAACTTTGAGCTATAAAAACCAAATAGATTTACTATGGATTTGGTGTTGTTTTGATCTGACCTTCCTATCCCACAGAAAAATATGTCATGGTGAGCAATTACTTTGATTCATTATTACTTTTTAGACTACTTTGTCCTCTAAAATACACACTTTTGGATGAAGTAAAATATTAAGCTTTTTAAAGCTAAGTTCAATCACTAGAAATTGAAATAAGCCCTTTAGGCTTTATAAAAGGAATTTAAATTTCCATTTACAATGGAAATAGTGCTTTAAATTTGGATGTGCTTTTGTTAAAAAAAAAAAGAATAACGAATTAAATTATTTGCTTTGAAGTTAAGGGGTTATTTTTTCACAACAAGTACTGCCTTTGGTACTGTATAATTATTATTGTAAACCCAATGACTTTGAACTAAGAATTCCATATTTAAATGCCATTAAAAGTAATTTTCATTATTTTTTTGGAAACTTTTTTATCAGCTCATATAAAGTCAGGGAAATGAGGTAATATACAATATGTGTCCACTTTTTATTCTCTGTAATAATTGCTTTAGTTACACTTGCCTTCTCAAATACTGTTGTTCTAATTATTTTGCAAGTCAGGATCTTTTTAACTGCTAAGTTCATCTGGACTCAGAACCTACATATTACATATCCTCCATATAATCTTTAATGGTAAATTCATATTGATTTAAATGAAGTTTTTCCAACCTAAGAAAAATAAACACATCATTTGAAATATTTTGAAGTCAAAAGAACAGGTACATATGCCTAAATACAATACACACTTATGTTGGTTTTTTCCAAAATCTTATTCTGTATTGTAGACATAATCTCACATACACAAGTGTAATACTGTTTTAAATTGTATTTCCCAAATAAACGAACAATTGCCTCTTGTTGCATACATTGTATTACTGATTATGTTTTCAGCTATAAGAATATGAGCTACTAGCAGTGTACGTACAAACACTGGGTCATGTGAAGACTATACTATAACCTTGCTAACTGGGAGCTCTTTTGGCTTTGGTACAAAATGAAATCTTTCTGAGAGAATGCTATCCTCTTAACCCATGAAGAAAGGAGACACTAAATTAAACACTTTTTCTTATACACTCTTATGAGAGTCAGTCATTTTTGACATTACTAAGTGATGTCTTATAATTCAAGGAGAAAAATGTCAGTTCATTTTTTTTCAGATCATATAGTTTTCAAATGTTATTCTTTGACCAGTTGTATTTAGAAATTTCAGAAAAGTTCTAATTCAGGTTTTAGGACAGACAAATTTTCTTTGAAACTTGAATAGAGATTAACTTGTACTCTGTCCTCTCATTCCTTTGGTGAGAACCTCAGTCAAGAATTTGAACATTTATTGATTAGTTTTCTACAGTCTATTAATTAATTAATTTGTTGAATTAATTAACACATTTAACTAATTAAAATTTTTACTAACACATTCCAGCTTTCTAATGAGATTCCTTTCTTTGCCAAGTATGTATCAAGGCCTATTTTATCCAAATCATCTTCAAGTCAGAGGACAGGAATGCAGTCTGGCATATCTGGATTTAGTTTTATTTTGTTAACAAAACATATTCAGAGTGTAGGTTAGCACTGTCTGTATTTGCTTCTCTTTATTTCCTCTGTATTCATACAAAACCATTTTTTATTCCTCTTGCTTTCTCAGCTGAGGTGTTACCCAGTGTTTTTATTTCCTCCATTCCCCGTGGTGATTACAAGCCTCACAGTTACTAAAGTAGTTGATGACTCCTTCTGTACTTTTCGATAGTAATTGACAGATCAAGTAGTTAGCTGACTAGGCAGCTTACTTGTGGTATGATACATTGATTTATCTTAAAACTTTGCATGATAGGTTTAGCTATGATTAATTTAAAGGGAGTTCTCCTATGAGCATATGGGGGATTTCTGATAACTATTTATCACAATTTCCTCCAAATAAGGGGTGGAGCTAATCTTGGAAAGAGCTTTGTGTATTTGTTGGATGGAAGCTGAATGCCACCCCAGTTGAAAATGCTGACTCATTGCAGTCTTATCTCCATTTAATTTACACTCAGCACAAAGCAGCAAAAGAGCTAAATAATACCTTCAGAGGAGTAAACTGAAACTACTGCTTGAACAAGTCCTTATAAACTACAGGGTCTGGTGAGAGAGGAAAAAATATGTTTTAAAATGCATTAATAGGAGTAGATTGTTACAGAACAGGGATGTTGAGATGTTTACAGTGACTGGAGGGATATATTGGTTTTGTTTGTCTAACAGCAGCAAAGCTGAAAAATTGCCCGTAACTCATACGAGGTATCGACGTGGCAGTGGAATGGGGAAGGCTGCAGGGTGGTTTATCTCTTGGAACTTGAGAACCCTTCTGCAGTTTCAGTCATTTTTTTACTTTTAAGGTGTTGGGATGTTAGCACATACCTGCACCTCTATGGAGGTCAAGTGGCATCAATGGACTTGGCATCAATTTCTGCCACAGTAGCCTTGGCAAAATTTCTTGGTGTTTTTTTTCCTGGGACAAGGCCAGTCTGTCACTTCTGAATTCTTGTTCGCTTGAAATCTGTGGGACTTTCCACCAGCAGTAAAATCCAGATTTCACTCAAATGTGTAAGCAATATTTTCTGGCAATAACTTTGTTGTGTATTTCTTGTTGCTGTTTTTGCCAATGTGACTGGAATTTAATTATCTTTTAGTAAATATGCAGCATGTTTATAAAAGCTAAATTGTCTTCCTGATATGTTTCACTGACTGGTAAAATAATTTTTTTTTTTATTTGTTCAGATGGTTTTTTGGCCCAATCAAACGAGCAGATGCCGAGAGACAACTGTCATACCCTGGAAACCAGGCAGGAGCCTTCCTAATCCGAGAAAGTGAAAGCCTGAAAGGCGAATACTCACTTTCAGGTATATTCCAGTTTTTCATCTTAAGCAATGTTTTAAAAATTTCTCAGGTATCTGTACTGTTTAATTTTTGAGAATGATAAATTGTGTGCATGAAAATAAAATTAAGTTCATAGTAATATTTCTTTCCCAGAAGATTCATGAAGAAAATTTGACAGAGTCATCTGGGGTTTTACTAACATATATTTTATAGGCTTTGTTTATTAATATGCTCAGAACACAAATTAACTTTCCTATGCTTAGTACTTCCAGTGCTCCAGCTGCCTTAAAATAGAACCTATTTTAATTATTAAAATGCCAAAAATTACATTGCAGTTGTACTCTGCTGTTCTGATTACTACACAAAATAAAAATTTAACCATGTTGGCATACATCTGCAGTTTAAGAAAATGAGATTTCTGCTAGAGCATACTCTTAGGTTTATACTTGTTTGTCTGCAGGGGCAAAATGACAGGAAGATCCTCAAAGCTATACTTTAGAATCAGTTATATTTCACTGAAAAGTTAGTTATAAACATCGGAAAAAAGTAAGATTTGTTGATGATGGATTTTGAAATGTATTTAAAGTCCTTTATTTGAATCCGAAAGACTATCAAAGAAGGACACTTATTTGATAATAATTTTACTTACGTATATGTGCATGTCATGATTTTCCCATCATAGATATTTGCCATATTAGATAGCGAACGTGCTTGTTCATTTGTTGTTTTCTGTGAATATTTTCTATCTAACTTGTCATGCAAGTGTGAGTCAGAAGTATAAAGCTGACCCTGCGATAATAGGGCTATACACCCAAACTTCCTAATGTGCTCTGCCTATAGAATTCCGTACACCAGTAAAGACTCTTTATATTTGTGAATAAACTGTAAGTTGTCACACACAGAATTACATCAGTAAAATGGGAGGCATTTTATGTGTAAACAAATTCTTTCATATTGACTGCTCTTCTGCCTGGATGTTTATGTGTCAGTCACCTTCTGAGCATTACACAGAAACACATTAAGCAGCTTAATGAACTTTTGACACGTTCTTGATTTCTCTTTCCAAATCATAAGGAAAGGGTATATACCTCCAATGTTTTGTGGTAATGGGAGGGTTGCTTTTTGTTATCAAGACAAAGAAATATATGTTGCCTGTGGAGTGAAATACAGAAAAGTTTCAGAAATAAATATGATGTTTAAAGTTCTGGGAGAATGCATTCCATAGTCTTCAGTTTGCCCTCAAGGAAGTTTATCTTGCCAAGAAGCACTGGTACGAAAACTGACATCAGCAAAGAATCCGACTGCTCCCAAACTGTGACTGAACTGACCCCTGTGCATGCTTCCTTTTAGCCAAAGATTGTATCATAGCTGCAGACCTTTCAAAATGTTTTCCCTCTATACACCAATGTATCCCTCTCCTGCCTGTTTTCAGCTTCCTTCAAGTGCTCTTCATCAGTGAACTGATTTCATCCAAGGACTGGGCTAGACTGATAACATCGTGGTGTCATGCAGGGTAGGATAGATAGGCCTGTATTATCTGCTTAATGCTGGCACTTGAATACATGACACCTCACTAAAAATCAATGAAAAATCTTGTATTTGTACATCTAGAGGTCGAAATGTAATTTCTTTTTATTATTCTTCAGCTATAGCCTTCTAGGAAAGATTCAAAATCATAATTCTTTACCCTATATCCTGACTACTTCTCTAACAGCAAGGCACCTACCTTGTTCAAACTATGAAGTACCACAGAGAAAAATCCAAGAGAATGAAAATAAATATTAGGCCAGCATTTGTGGTAGGATGAGATAATCCTTTGATTCTGCTATTCAGTTTTTTTCCTTACAAATCATGAATAAAAACTACATTCTACCTGATTTAGTATATTTAATTCAATTATAAAAGCTTGTGGTAGGCATTTTTCAGATTTATGTATAAGCTTATTTGGAAACATGAGATTTGATGATAGCTGATAACAGCAAGATGTGAAGCCATCAGTGAGGATTTCTTCCATGCTGGTTTGTTTGGTGAAGGAAGGGAGGAGTGTCACTGAAGAACATAGTATGCACGAAGGCAGGGCTCCAGCTACACGAAGCAGCCCTCCTTCATGCACAAACATGGGTTGTCCTCTGAGCATGTATGCATGTGTGTATGTCATCTCAGATTTATTAAACATCTGTGCTCTTTTAGGCAAGGAAAGAGAATAAACTCTGAAGCAGTCTGTAGACAGGGAGTATTAATGACATGATTTACCTGTGCTGCTAGGTCTTTTAGCAGCTTCCCAGACTTGATTGTAATTTGACCTCAACATGCTACTTCATCCTGAAGAGCTAAATATCATTTGCTGCTTACTGAGTAGGCTTGACTGAATGGCATCTGTTTGTGTTGTGCAAGCGTTTTTGCTTCCAACCTAATTGTATACATAATGGTCCGGACATTGTATGTCCATAATGTCATTACTTACATCTACTTTTGGGAGAGCTAGTGTGTTCTAAAGCAAATGATGAAGTGGATTGTACTGTGGAGAGAATTAATTGGAAAGAACGTTGTTTAGTCTACCAGATGCTATGGTGAAAGCAATTTTTCTGACTCTCTCCTCTTTGTTCCATCAGGAGGAGTTATGAGACACTCAAAGCTGAGGCAGAAAAGGAGTGTTTTCTTGAGGGATAGTGATTCAGGAGTATTTCAAGAGGTCTTGAATGGCTTCTGTCTCCATGGTAGCAGATATACTAACAGGGAAGAAGTCACAGCCTGATGTTTTGTAATGTAGCTCTAATTTCTCTTTGCAATTTTTTCAGTGGAGAAAGAATAGACCCCCAACTCCCATCCTCTGTAGGACTGGTTGGCTTTGTTCTATCTGCTATTGCTGTTTTGGTTTCCCTCCAGAGTAGATGATAATGACTAGAAAAGTGACAAGCTGGCTTTCAGAATTAAGGTCTTTAAGAGAACTCCAACCAGCCTAACATTTAACTGTAATAAAGCTAGAAAGGAAAAGGAAATAGAAAACGAAGACAGAATTTTACCCAAGCACCCATAAACTGATTTTATGTCTTTCACGCTTGATTTCATACTCATATGGGCAAAGTATAAAAGACGTAATGTTAATGAGGGAGACAAATGGATCTCCTTAGGAAAAAAAAAGAAAAGAAAAAAAGCCCTACCTTTCATTTAAATGACAATTTTCACTTCTAACTTGCCTTGATGGGAAAACACACAATTTGTAAGATTTAGATGATAAATGACTATTTCAATTTAAAGAAAAGTTGTGTTTAGAAAGGCTTTTCTCAGCTATGAATAATTAAATGGAAAGCACATCAAACCAGATAGGCCACTGTGTTGTGTTGCTATAATTTTAAAGTGTCTGACATTTTAAAAAATAGGTTTTCCCATTTTAAAAATGCACATGTTGTCAACAGATTTTTATGTTGATGACTCCAGCATCTGGTGTGAAATGTATTAAATTTTAAGCATGTTGGTGCCGTCTTAGACGTTGCCTCTTTTTAATTAAAAGCCATAATTTAGATGTGCTCAGCTTAATTTAGTGTCATTGCCAATGATAGAAGGAGGCTCTCTACTTCCCCCCTCACTGAATAATGGTATCTGAAAGACTGATTGCATTAAATGACAGTGTAAATGGTTTGTGTTTTCTTCCATTTTTTTTGTTTTCACTGCTCCTAAAAAAGATTATATGGTTTCTTCTAGGCAAGATTTGCTTTCAGCATAGGAAAAAATATGTAATAGTTTAAGGCAGCAGACTGATAGGAGGGGCAAAATCATGGCCATAGCAGGAGAACAATTTCTGAGTAGCCGCTGCATCTGTTCTGTGCTGGTGAGGGTGATCTCATAAGCCACCCTTCTCCCACATCCACCCTGGGCAGGGAGACCAACCGCATCTCCTGCCAACAGTGCTGCACTGCAAGTGCTGGGGGGGGTGACTGCTGACAGGAGAGATGTTGGGATGCTGGCAGTCATGGTGTCTCCGTGATCCATTTGGTGAAGATGTTGATGTCACCATAAAATTGAATTTTGCTGCCCTGGGAAAGGAATAATAAATTATTTTATTCTCATCCTTGGAGCGGCAAAATCTACCTCTGCATGGCTCCCAAGCTTATGAAGATGGGAAGCAGAGAGAGGAGAATGCTTCTATTAAAGAGAACACATGAAGAAATCTAATGGGGAGAAGAGCAAGTTGGGGAGAAAACTTCTGCAGTCTTGAAACCTAGTTGATGCCAAACTGCGTGAAGCTGAAGTTGAGATCCTGCTCTGTTAAACAGTCTGGCATGGACGCAGGGATGACTGGAAGCATCGAAGGAGTTATGGCTGGCTCTTCCCTGAGTGGCATGTGCTTCATGTTGTGTTGGGCAGAGGAACCGCACCACATTGCAGCTCTGTGAGTGTCAAGTGCAAGACTCATACAGCCAGACCGAGCCCTGCAATACAAGTAAACAGCCCCCTGTCAGCTACTGCCCTAGTCTCACCTGCTTATCACAAGAAAAAACAGTATCACCGCAGAAATTCTCCCTGGATTCTCCACACACACATCGCCTGTATGCTGCCAATCATAAAGCTTCAAATAAGGCTCATTTAAGAAATTATAGCACATCCTTCAAACAAACTCTTGCATTTACATTAGCTGCTTCACAAGTAATAATTATAATGTTGCTAATAATTAAAGGAGGTAGTCAAATAAACTACTATGACTTGTGATATACAACTGAGACTGGATTAACAGAGTCATCCTCTTGCCATTTTATTCTTCATAACTAGCAACTCATTTGGCCAGATGCACTTTACTGGGAGCTTTTGAAGTCATTAAATTTCCAGTCTGTTGTTACTGAATTACTCTTTCCTTCATTTTGTTTAAGCCCTGTTTCCAAATGACACATCACAAAAAGATATATGCATTTTATAATTAAAAATATTAATTATGAGGTGTTAAATTAAAAAGAAATGACATTTGAAAAGTGTGATATAATTATCTTTATAATATGATGTTATATTTACAAATATTCTTATTTCTGGTCCTCGTGCAGAATAGTAAATTGGTAAATCGGTTGTCTCAACATATTACCTCTGGCAGATATAAAATCATCTCATATTTTCAACAGCTCCTGTGTGCCCTCTGGTGGCCTGAGGTGACAGTCGCACAGCACAGGAGAAATGTTTGTTCATACAAGACAGCTCTTAAGGAAGGACAGATTTCTCTTTCTGACTTAATCACTTAAATAGTGAGAGAAATTATACTTTTTATCAGCTTTGTTAATTGCATGCAAACCATAATTTTCTGGATGTTTTTCTGCATACAATATGTCGCTGTGTATTCTTCTGTTAGTATAACCAAAGTAATTGCCAAAATTCGTGCAGTGATACAATATCAAGGATCTATTAGCTATAATATGTCCAGGGGAGAGCACTAACAATTTTTTGCATAATTATATTTTTGAACATAATGGACTGATGCTGCTTCCAGGAATGAAAAATATTTCCATTAAATTATTTAACTAAGAGTAGCGACTAGTATTTGCTGGAATTTTGGCTACTAAAAGGTATACTAGAGGTAAACAGCAGAAGGCCATTCCCCTCTTCCTCCCTTTTGTTTTTCAAACTTTCATCTTGCATGAGGACCCTGAGAAGGAGGCAGTAATGGTAATCTCCCAAATCGATGGGTGTGGAAGGAGCTACCTGGCCTACTGGAAAGCTGTAATGTTGGGTAATGGGGACGAGGATGGCAACTGGAGCATCCTCATCCCCTTGAGAGCCCTCTTCTCACTCATCATGGAAAAGCACTATGTTGTTTCATTAAATGCAGGGTGGGATGGCCCTCTGCTAGAAGGTAAGTCAGTTTCCTTTCAGGATAGGCTCTCCATTGCCCATTGGAAATGGACAGTGATGTCTCAGTCACGGAGTTATCATGCTAAATAACATCCCACATGAGAGACTACATCATTTTCCAGCTCTTCAGAACTGCCCTTTCTGCTGATGCTCAGCCCACCATTGCTACTGCTGATATTCCTTTATAAGGAAGATCTCTAAGCCAGTGGTCTCCAAACTTTTGTGACTGCGCATCTCTACCAACAGAGAGATTTTTGAGCATTCACCCCCAGTATATTTGTTTGTGAATTATATACGTGTACTACTGTACTGATTATGTACATTATAGAACGTACACATTAAAAAAAATTAAAATTTGATGAGATAAAGATTAAATAAACATTATTTTTAAAATATTTATTTTATTTATTAATGGTACAAAACACACTTTTTTTCCCACACCTTTTTTTTTTGTCTTGTGCACTCTCTGGGTTGTGTGCACTCCTTTTTGGAGACCGCTGCTCTAAGATATATATGACAGAGTCCTCAGAAATGGCAATTACAAGCCTATTACTCCTTAAATAACGTACTAGGTGAGTGACAGTGCATTTTTTTGTCAATTTCTGGCCTGCTGCTAGTCCAGGTCTAAACCCAGCATGTGGTGGCCCAGCCTGCTTTCTGATACCTCTGAAGAGTGCTTTGACAGTTACAGGGGATGACACTTGAGTGTCATGACATGCAGGTAAATAACCTACAGGATGTAAGGAGAGAAAAGTCTTGTTGATTAGGAAAGATCAGATGAGAATAAAACATATTTTGAAGGAAAGGGAGTCATCGGCTACTCGAAACAGAGCATTATTAGCCTGATTTTTACATATTCCAAACATGCACAAAAGTCAGAAAACCCATGGAAGATGTGAGTGCTTTCCAGAGAATCATGGCTATATGGAGGGTGTATCTGTTTGCTGTTTGGAATGTTAACACTGATCAATGAAATATTAAAAACTGCTTTAATGGTTACTGTGAATTAGATGCTCCTGGCTGTTTTTGGTGTCCTAAAAGATGGAAAATATGAGCTACCTCACAGAAAATGTATTTATGTATTTTTGCATCAGTTCTTGTAGTACAAGTATGAATTTCCGAACCTGAATGGTTGAAAACCAACAGGCTAGATATATTAAACTATCTAAACAGTAGGCTTTGGTTTGAAAGAGATTTTTTTTTGTAATTGTTACCTTTGAAACTAAAATAATTTATTTTAAGGTCTTAACAAATACATTTAGGAACGTTATGATGGTTTAGTCATAAGCTATATTGTACCACTGCTATAATTCCTGGAAACTTAATATATTTAAATTCTCTTAGTTTTTGATGGTGTATCTGTGAAGCACTACAGGATCAGAAAGCTGGATGAAGGAGGCTTTTTCTTAAGCAGAAGGAAAACTTTTAAAACTCTGAATGAGTTTGTTGACTATTACAGTAAGAACAGCGATGGCCTCTGTGTGGTTCTTGGAAAGCCATGCCCAAAGGTAAGAGTGAGTGCTACATTGTGCAACACATCTTTTATAAGATAACTCATCAGATTTCAGTCAGAAGGAGTTAACCCCATACTGCTTCTGCCATTTCAAAATGGTTATGATCTGCTTATTTTCAGAAGTTCTGGGTAGCACTACCATTTCATTCTTGAAGCTGGCGTGTTAATAATAAAATACTATGCCATTTTGAACAAATCAAAATGTGTGGCTGGAGGAGAAAATATGCCAAATAATAATTTATTAATACCTTTTAATAAATGTATATAGAGATGAAATCTCCAACTTCATAACTCTAGCTGTCCATAAGTAATTACTGAGACAAAGCCACAAGGTTCAAGCAAGCAATACGTCACTGTTCAAAAAGCTTGCTAGAGGGAGGATTTCTAGTTTTTATTTTTAATGACAGGATATTTCCTTTAGAGTATTTCTTATGTCTAACAAAAAGTACCCAGGATGCAGGCTGTATTTTATGTTCTCAGCTTACTTTATCACGTGTGTGTACTCTAAGGAAACATTATTTATATCAGTTGTGGCTTTACATGACGTAGTTAACAATGACTTGTAGATGCTGTTGAAAAAATATTAGAAGGCTCAACTACTGTATTATTTATTTTCTTTTACCAGGTTCAAATTCCTGCCACTTTTGATTTGTCGTATAAAACTGTCGATCAGTGGGAGATTGACCGACAGTCTCTGAAATTGTTGAAAAAATTAGGATCTGGTCAGTTTGGTGAGGTATGGGAAGGACTGTGGAATAATACCACCCCTGTGGCAATTAAAACATTAAAACCAGGTATGTGAATTACTCTTTAATGCTAATAATGTGAAGTGCTAGCAAGGGTGCTCCTTCAGTTTTTGAATGCTACTGAAAAGAGACCCTATCCATATATGCAACCATTCTTAAAATCCATGCACTTAAACATGAAGGTTAGTAAAGCTCAAGGTCTAGATATTATTTGGTATTTTGAGTTATAATTTTATACAGTTTTCTGTTTCCATATGAGTTGAACTCATTCAACATTTATATTACATAAAAAGGCAACCTCAGCAAGGCCATCTCTTTTGTACAATATTGCTTGTATGGAATTGAATCACTGCATTTCATCTGTAGGTGAAGTAGTCAATTTACTAGTGATTTGTCATCTGTAGAATTTCTTTTAGTGAATAGATGCAATAACGATTCCTTTGGTAATATAGAATATGTCCTATTTTAAGTTTGTGTTTAAGAAGTGCTTTAATCTTGATTGAATAAAATTTCTCAAAGTTAATTAATATAACATTAATACCCAATATTTGCATATAATACAGGCTTGTTACTAATACAGCTTTAATTTTTCTTAATTATTTTTCATTAGCTTCAAGTAATTTATGCTTTTTAAATTAACAACATAAAATATCTGCCAGCAGATGGCAAGAACCACATAGATAAGAAAGGTAGCCTGGATCATATACATGTTTTTTAAAAAGAGATAACAGTATAACGCGTTGTCATGAATTGAAAAAGCTTGTGATGGTCACTAACGACCATGTTTCAGGAAGCAGAACAGATCCAGATCTTTGATTAAGAAGGACAACTAAATATGATTGAGCCCAGCTTGAATGGTCTCCTGAATAGGGAGAAATTTCAGCATGTCTTTTAGGGCTATTGTGTATCAGGATACTGTTTGTGTTTTGGGATTTGCAAATTGAAAACAAATAAGAACCCTTTTTTCTCTGCTTAACTGAAATTAGCAAAAGTGCTTAGACTAAAGGCCTTCTATAATTCATGTGAAAGACAGCATACTCTTTTCAGTGAACCGATGCATCTCCCTAGGGACCCAGTAAACACAGAAACCATCTTGAAATCTCTTTGTCTGTTTCTCTTTCCTAAGACAGTATCCACTAAGCCTGTACCTGTTGTGATAGGGATCCATATGCTGATTTTCATTGAATTCTGAAATTACAAATCTGAAACCAGTCTTTTTCTCCTTTTGTCTGACCTGAATCTCTCATTCTGCAGTACAAGCCAATTTCCTCTTACCTTATACACCGTGACTAAAGAGTACCTATTATTCTCTTCCTCTTTACAGCAGCTGTGTACATACTAGAACACTATTAACAAATTCCTTTTTGGTCTTATCTTCTTCAGGTTAAACAGCTCAACCAGACCATGTAGCTCAGATGTTTTAGATGTCCCATTGTTTTCCAATGATCTTTACTGGGCTGTTTTGAGGTGGTGACCATATTTTTGTATGATACTAAGAGGAAGATGTGTAACGAGAGGGATTTACTTCACATTTCTGATGTGCTAGACCTCTATTGAAACAGTCCAATGTAGTGCTTGCCTTTGTTCTCCATACGACAATAACCTAATATTTCCATCTGAGTTTACTTTCCCTTAGTGATTTAATGCAACATCTGGACAAGTCTGTTTTATTGCAGAAGACTGAAGGGTTCTTCCTAAAGTGTGAAATCTCTTAAACAGTATTTAAAGAAGGAAATTAATGAAGCTGAAATAAAGAAGAAGACTAAGCTATCTTAAATTTTTGTGAAATAAAAATTTCTTTTAGAAATTATCTTTTCTTTCCTCTTTAAGAAAATATGTGGCAATTATCACTCTAGGAAAAGATTTGTTTCTCATCAAACAAAATAATTAGATTTTGAACAAGTCGCAGTGCATGCATTTCTACTTATTTTCTTTAGCTGGAAAGCGGAGCTGACATTTATCTCATATTGCATATGCAAAAATGGGAAGCTATCTTAATTGTATTTCATCTCCTTCTCTTAATAACTCATTTCAAAACTAATTCATCTTTTCCTTCTGTATAATGCAGACAATACATATTATCAGTTCTCTGTGAAACAAACTTCTGTTTTAATAATGGGTTCGATTAGAAATGACAGGACTACCTGGAAACACTAGTGGCAAGTTCCAGCTGCAATCTACCTCTTTTTTTTTTCTTTTTGGTGCTGATCCCCTGAATGACTGCTACTAATACTCTACTTGAAGAAAAGCAAGAGTTAGTTAATTTTATATCTGAAACAGAATTTAATGTGCATAAGGCCAAACTGACCCATTCTTTTACTGTTGTTCAATTAATTAGTCTTTTAGTGTCTTGCTGACAGAGCACACAGAGAACACAATACTTCTAGAGCGACATAAGCAGGAAAAGAAGGTTTTTCATGGTTTCTATAATAATAGGATGTGCTAAGAATCCACTTACAGAGACTATCAAACAATAAAAAATAATCAAAATTCTTCAATAGGTTTGTTAGCTAAAATTAAATTTTACACTGGAATAAATATGATACTCGCTGCAAACTTGTTTTTATGTAGAGACTAGCACAGTACAGAGAAAGAAGCCCCTTCAAAACTGATACTTTTTGTAGTATCGTAGTTTGTCTGGGAAAAAAGGGCTTGATTAATCAAAACTTTTTCCATTTTTTTTTTTTTTTTTTTTTTTTTTCACTCTAGTCTGCCTCCTGTTAAGGTCAACAGTAGTAGTCTCATTGATTTCACAGTGGGTTATATTGAGTTAGGGTAGACACAAGCTCCACCTGAATGTGATGCTTGGATAGCGGAGTTTGTGATCTAATACTGTGATAAGGATGCTCAGAATGAAGCCTTTGATTCTCAAAGCCATCTTGATAAATTGTATAGGTAATACTGAATTTCTTATCACTTTGTGACCTACCTTGTTCTACAGAAACAGTTCAAATGGTCTCAAATGGAAGCATTTAACTCTGTAGTATAGTTCTCTAGGGAATTATCCCCCTCTACACAATGTTTTTCACCATTTGGAGTGCCTTACTATAATAAGTTAGCACACTGGTTTTCATTAGCTTGTTCTGATCGTTACTCATGAGGAATAACTTTTCAATAATTAAAGAAAAACCCCAATACCCTCACCCTAATCTGACTAATAAGTGCTTAGCTTGGTACTAATAAAATTACAGCAAAGGCTAGGTTTGGTAATTTCATTCATCGTAGTATAAAGATGATAAGTGAATGGAAAATGTAATAGTTCATGAGTAATCAAGAAATGCATTATGTTATATGCTGATTATTGAAACTTCCTATATTCACATGAGCAATATTTCAGGCTTCAAGTGTAACACACTGTAAACGATTCTCTCCTGTTGCTTGGCTTAAAGATCTAAATCAGTTGTCTTTACACTGGAGGAGGAGGGGGCATATTTTAAATCAAAGTCTTTTTGCTAAGCTGCTTTACAGTGTAGACCCACTGGAAAAGAAAGTCATCAGGACAACAGAAGGGTGTGATAAACTGTAAATGATATGGCAAGTACAGGGAACTTAGACAGATACCACCAGAGAAATTGTGAAGTTGAACCATACTCTTATTTCCAAGCAGGAGTAGGTTAATCAAGTGAGGTAATCACATAGCAAACAATATAGAAGAGCATAATGCAATCCATACATGATGGAGTTGTAGGCCTGAAGGCCAGAAGGGATTTCTGCTAGTTTGAGTTTTTCTGTTGAGTGTTATTTTTCAGTGGACATCTGTCGTAGCTCATGTATAGTCTGAATACTTTGCTGTTATATGCAACTACATTCCACCCCTCTGCTCAGATAGAGTATTTATATTTAATCAAAACACAGCTTGTTCTTGATTAGGTAATAACTAGAAGTCCTGAGATGGAGGCACAGAGAGAAGTTGCCTCTGCTATCTTTGACAGTTTGTATCAATGGTATATCACTACGCCTGTAAGAATGCAGGCCTCATTTCTCATCTGGATTTACCTGGTGTCTTCTCTTTAGCAATGGTTACGTCTTCCTGTAATAAAATAAAGGCCTCCTTGTGTGCATTATTTTTTCTTTCCATTCTGGAGATACATACAGAGTGAGTGACTTTTAATTGTCTTCAGAAAGGCTAAATATAGTTTCTTGTTATCTGGTGCTCTCTTCATTTCTCAAATAGCTTTTCTGGACTTAGAATAATTTCTAGCTATTGCTGCATCATACCAGCTACATTTTTGCTATTTTTAGGCACCTAACATCTTAGATGTATCAGGATTTTAACAATTGGTGGTAAAAAATGAGCACTTACATGCCAGATAAATCATACTATAGATTAGAAATGTACATTACAATGAGAGAACAGCATGCTATTAAAGCATGTTTCTTTCCATTGATTGTAGTCTGAACAACTAACTCAGATCTAGGTGCCTGAAGAATTGCCTACAGTTGGAGGAGGTGAATCCAGTTACCAGCAGTGTTTTGTAATTCCGCAGGATTTACAACAGTAACAAAACTGAAGAAAATGTCAAGCTGCTGGAGCCTCTGAGATCTTAAACTGCTCAGGCTGGGAGCCTTCTGACAAGAACTGCAGGGAGATTGGGGTTCCTAAGGACGCCAAGGGAATTGTCTGTCTTCTGATGCCTGGTGGGGTGTTGTTTCACCCCCTGCCTTTATGATTATGGAGTATCTAGTTTAACCAGATTCAGAGTTTGGGGTTTACAGTCTACTGGCTCTGGATGACAGGGCTCCACACACAGCTCTTCAAGACTGTGAGATTTTGCAGCAAAAAGAACTCAACCAGAGATATTTTCAGATTTAATGAAGCATACTTTTTCAATGAAATCCTGTTTCTGACAGCAGTTTGTTGTCCATCTCTAAACAGAATGTTCAACACTTCACTCCTGAAAATATCAGAAGATTAAATCTGTTGATCCAGAACCATTTTTTTCCACCCGACTCTTTGGAGACTTTTTCTCAGAGCCAGTGGTGGATTATGGAAACCTTCAAAAAGTCAGAATGATTATTCAGTGATCTTTATACAAGATTTACATTAA